TTGGAAAAGGGGGTGCACTCTTGTTCATGGGCCCTTTCCCTCTATATTTGAACCCCATGGATCGTCTCTCAAGTCGTTCTCTTTCGTTGCTTACAGAACGTTGGATGAATTTTCGAACTAACTGGCAAGTCCAAAGTGTATGCAAGATCCCTCACACGCTGTAAAATTGTCCAAGGCCCACAATACCGTGGGGACAACTTAGCACTACCACTTCCTTTTAGAGATTGTTGTGCATCCGACAGCTTAAGGAAAACCTTGTCACCAACTTTGTACTCTTAATGACAACAATGCTCATTAGCCAATCTTTTGTCTCGTTCTTGAGCTTACTTCATGTTCAATTTTGCCAACTCAAGCTTGTCTTGCATATCCTCCAGGAAATCATAATCATGAGGAACCCAAACCAAAGCCAAATTCAAACTCACAGGAGACCTAGGCTCATAGCCATACATCGCCATAAAAGGAGACATGCCAATAGCCGATTGATGAGCGCTATTGTGAGCAAACTGAAGCAAAGGCAAGTATTTTTCCCATACTCCCTGTCGAGTCAAGTTTCCCACAAAAGACCGTAGCATATCTTCTAATAGCTGATTCATGCGCTCTATCTGCCCATCAGATTGTGGATGCTCACCACTACTCATGCTCAGTTTAGTCTCTAGTTTTTCAAAGACCGTTTGCCAAAACTTGGATGTGAACTTAGGATCCCGATCACTCACAATGTCACCCGGCAAACCATAGAGACTAAATAACTGGTCTACAAACAACTGAGCAAGTTCAGAAGCTTTTATCATTGTCTTCACAGGGAAAAAGTGAGCCATCTTCGTCAAACGATCCACAACAACCCAAATAGCATCATTTCCTCGAAAGGTTTTGGGCAAACCAGTGATAAAGTCCATCGAGATGCTATCCCATTTATTCTCGGGTACACGTAAAGGATGATAGAGGCTAGCAAGCTTCTGATGATCAACTTTGACCGCTTGGCAGGTCAAGCAACCACGTACGTACTTCTCAACATCTTACTTCATCCCAGGCCAAAAGAAATGCCTCTTCACCAACATATACGTTCTCAATACCCTCGGATGCCCAGCACTTGGCATATTATGACACTCAACCAAAATCCGTTTGATGAGTTTGTCAACACGAGGAACCACTACACGTCCCTTCTTCACCAGGATTCCATCTCGTATCTTGAATGACGCAAACTTGTCACCCTTTAAATCTGTAGAGGCGTCCCTCAACAAAACCTTCGCGCGAATATCAGTGATAAAGGAGTTGAAGTCAGCAAACTCCTTAAGCTCATCCAAGAGATCGCTGGATAGCTTCACGAACGAGATAGAATTTACCATCCTAGATAACGCCTTAGCCACCTTATTGTCACCTCCATGCTTGTACCGGATCTGAACAAACATTTCCTGCAGGAACTCTTGCCAACGAGCAAGGCGGCCTCGAAGATCCACATCTGGAGAGACTAATGAATTGAATCTACATGGAAGTCCGATCCATACAGATAATGTTGCCATTCTCAAGTAAGTCAATTCCGCTGTGTGGTATCAAACTTGTGGCTCATGAATGCGAGAGAATACCTAACTTGAAGCAATACGGCCCCAAAAGCACTATCACTCACATCATTGCCTATAATTTCCACCACAGTCACCTTATTATTCATTGATCCCTTCAGAACAATCCTTGCTCTAATGTCTAGCTTTATGGCAACGAAAACAATTGCCCTCCACCTTGTCCTTCTCTTGTTAGTCCAAACGAAGTTTCTTAGTCTCATTGCCATCTTCATGCTTCAAGCCATCATGGAATAACGACTGTTTCTTCCCCGAATATGATCTATTTTCACCTTATCCTCACAAGGATTGTGAGACCAACAACTTTCCCACAATTCCAACCAAGAATCAACCTCTTGACTATCACAAACATCCGGTGATGATTTCCATTCCATAATACCATAATCCTTGGCATGCTTGATGTACCAATGGTAATCACGGACATGAGATCGATTCAATCCTTGAGGGTCCATGCGAAGCAAGAAATCCTTAATGAGATTGACGGAATCCTTAACCTCCTTTATGTCGCTTTGAACTGCAGAAATCTGGCGTCCTTGCCGCAAAACGACATCATTAAGAGTTTCTTCCGCATCATCATGGCTATCATCACTAACGCCATACTCCTCATCAGGATCAATATCTTGCTCTCCCGCCATCCCCAAAAGAATGTGCTGCTTTGATACCAATGAAACAAACAAGAGAGTGAACCCTAGGCCAACCTCCCAACCCTTAAGGCGTTACGGCCTTAAATCCCACAGGCCATAGAATATTCTCGGAATATTTCTGTGGTTCATGTCATGATATTTCCTGGAAAGGCCAATCAATGGATCACAACGTTGACAAGAGTATATGCTGATAAGTCACCGTCACGAAAGCTGTCACAGGAATATTCTTTAGGAGATTTTCCTCATGGTATTAATCGAAAAAGTTTATCGCCTCCACAAGGCTCTGAACACTCATGGCCTTTACTTTGGCCAAGGCGTTGGCGTCAGCAGCCAAGGAATTACTGTTGAGTTTAGCGGTGAAGCTGGTGATGGTTATGGTGGCTTCCCAGGTGGTGATCTTCCCCGCCTTCTTTGTCATGGTGGCATCCGCCCAATACATATTTAACTCCGGGTTTGTGGCTGGCGACCTGAAGGAGAAGAGCGTGTACAGTGCCCGAACACTAGTGTTGTCCTCGACGTGCGCAAACGTAGGGACGTGCAGCAGCGCCTTTTGCAAAGTCTTGGTAATCTGGTTAGCGGTCTCAGTGTCGTGGGTGCGCTGCAGGTAGTCGCTGACGTCTTTCCAGATCGTGTCGCAGCTGCCAGACATGTCCTCGCTGGCCGCTGCCGTGAGGTAAACATACTGCGGGAATGTGGTGACAAGCACTGTCAGAAACTGCTGGAAATGCTTGGCCTGTTGGCTGGCCTCGGCGGGATCGGTGATGAGCTTTGGAGAGTAGTGGGCGAGTTGCATTCCAACAGCCGTAAAAGTTGCCAAGGCGTGGACATGGAACTTTGGTAGCTTGTAAACCTCGGCATTTGCTCCAGGAAGAGGCGGGGCGTTCACAGCAATAGCTACAGGAATGTAGACATCTACATCAGTGGCCACATGAGCGTCAACATGCAGGAATCGTGCTCGAGAGACCGCCTTGGAGTTGGAGCTCACGTTCCTGAACACCTCTAAAGCGTGATTGAACTCATTGTTATTCATCAGCAATGGCAGCGCCATGAATATAAAAGCGGGATAAAGAGCAGAGTGATCTAGAGACAACGAGAAAGGAGCGGATGTTCAGATGGGTAGTCATTCCAGCTTTATATACCACCAAGAGCTTGAGCATGCAAAAAACGATGTCAATTGCAATGAATGATCAAGGACATGGGGCCATCTTGAAGTTCCAAGGAATGACAGTGAAATATCACTTTCTTAATAGAATGCTATACTTTTTGAGATTGCAAGATCATAGCTAGAACTATACATCAGCCTACGTACCCTTGCAAAAAAAACATATCATAAATCATCAAGGACATGGCCCCAATATGGAATGACTGTGAAATATCACTTTTTTGACAGTTCTGCTATAGCAATGTTGAGATTGCAAGATCATAGCTGGTCCAGCATGACATTTTTTTGTTTTGCAAGGGTACGTATGTCGTCAAGAGCTGGAATGACCCATTGCAATTGACAAGTAAGTATATACCCTTGCAAAAAAAAAATGTCATGAATGATAAGGGACATGGTTTATATATAGGGCTTTAATTTCGACAACCTACTTGACAAAAGAGCCTTTAGTGGCTATTTTATCTCTATTTATCCCCCAAGGTTTTAATGATCCATGATGACAGTATATTTAAATATTATCTTATGATCACATGCGCTACATTAAAGATTGACAATGTAATATACAGCATGCTATACTTGTTGAGATTGCAAGGTCATAGCTACCAACCTATATACCCTTGCAAAAAACATTGTTATAAATTATCAAGGACATGTGGGCCCCAATCTTGAAACGAACAAGCGAGCAAACCTTATGCCAACCTCCCAACCCTTAAGGCGTTACAGCCTTATATCCCACAAGCCATAGAATATTTTAAAAATAATCCTATGGTTTCATGTCAAATCTTGCTTGGCATAACCAATACACCCTTAGCCCTCACAGAAATCATTAATTATGGCATTAGACCAGACAAGGGCTAGAAATGTACACCATCCAGCATGACATTTTTTTTTTTGCAAAGGCTTTTTGCAAGGGTATGCACGTCCTCAAGAACTGGATGCAATTGACAAGTATGTACATACCCTAGCAAAATAAAAATAAAAATAAAAAATTGTGAATGGTCAAGGACATGGGTGGTCCCCAATTTTGACAACCTCAAGAGGTCAAATTCAGCTTCATTGTTGAGATTGCAAGATCATAGCTACCAACCTACATACCCTTGCAAAAAACATTGTCATAAATTATTAAGGACATGGGCGTAGAGCTGCTACAAGTGGGCCCCAATCTCACTTATAGGAAATGATGGTGAAACATCACTTTCTTATCACTTTAGGGTGTCCTGACAAATATTAATGGTTGCCTCTGGCATAATTAATTATTTCTAAATCATTAATTATGGCATCTAGGTCCAGACAAGGGCTAGAACTGTACACCAACCTATGTGGTCCATCTTTTTATTTTTTGCAAGGGTACGTACGTCGTCAATAGCTGGAATGACCGCTCTGCCCTTGACGAGTACATGCAAAACAAATGTGTCATGAATGATCAAGGACATGAGCTTAAAGAATGACGGTGCATGCTATAAGCATGCCTAGAGTATACCAATGCAATTTTGTTTTCAGTCTCTGCAAATGGACTCACTTTTATTATGCAGCACAGATCTGGCTGTTGATAATGTCACATGTTCAAAGTTGACATACTACCAAATTCTGAGCTCCAGCTATAAAGATCCCAGTGATCCATCACGGTTAACACCAAGGCCTGTTATTTGATCTCCTTTCACGTCCAGCAATTGTGTGTTCAGTCTTTCTTTCCCCTCTCAAACCTTATTCTCACAAGTGTGCTTCTGCAGGTAGATCTTGAACAATTCCCTCTTTGCAGGAGAGCAACTCTTCTATTGACTTTCTTCTCTTTCTCAGTCAAGCTCGAGCAGGCCACAAGAGCAGAACAATGGGAAGCCTACCACAGCTTCTCAGTGAGGACGAGGCTCGACACAACCTACAGGTTTTCACTAAGTCTGCCATGATTTCAAAAGCTCGCAGCTACATCCGCTCATCTCAACCCCTGTCAGTAGTGATAGAAGTACCGACAAATAATGACATTGTTGCACCTGGGGCCGAAGTTGTGAATGGTCCTGATGACACTGCGTCGTCACAGCTGGAGTTCTACAGAAACCCCAAGTACCACACTGACGTCCTTGCCACCTTTATTGCCACAGCGATGTCTATTGCTAAATATGTTCCACTACTGACGGAGCTTACAGACCAGGCCAACAAACAATCGGAGGATTTTGCCAAATTCCTCCAGATCCTGGTGTCCACTTTCCCGCAGTATGTTAAGTTTGCAGGAGCAAGCAGCATCGCCATCGAGAACAAGTCAAGTTATAATCAGTTACTGTCAACGGTGCATGACTTCATACAGGAGACTGCTATTGACCCGTCTAAAGCTGGTGCGGGCGTGATCCAAATGATCAAGAATGCAACCCATGCCATGGATTCTACAGTAGAAGGCAGCTACAGGCGTTCACTCTATACTTCATATTCTTTCCAGGGCCGTGCTCGCAATCCCCAAACGACAATGTACTGGAGTAGTGTCAACTTGGAGAGGAACCGCAGCGGCAAGACTACGTGTGTGTCTGCTGAGCTGAAGATCGTCCGCTTTACCGTTGAGGTCATCAGTAATTCCGTGATTGCTGATGCTCATATCCTGGCAGAGGCAAAGGGCCGGGCAGCCCAGGAGATTGCGGATATCATAAATGGACATATAAATCCGTCCAAGGACAATCATTAGAGAGCTCTGTTGGGGCCGTAAGCCAAATGATAATGAATGGAAATTTGCTCTAAGTATATAGGTATATGGGAAGTATGTAAAAGGAAAATTGGTAATAAAAAAGTCCATAAATATTATTAGATGCAGTGATTAAAAAATTAATTAAGAGATCCATAAATATTTAAGTTACAAAGGTGTGAGTGGGTGACCACTCCAAGGTGGATTATAGTTTCAACACAAGCTTTATCATAGTGGATACTCTACAAGGTTGTTGCACAGTTTGTTGAAGCAGGACAATATTGCTTCCCTCTGCTCTTCTTGGCATAAAAACTTTTTGGACCAATATTCAGTTTATTTAGCATTTTACCAGGAAACTTTACATGTAATTTTCTCTCCCTTATTAAATTTGCCATCGTGAAATAATAGGTAAAGCATTAAATTAGTGGCTACCAGATTATTTGGGTATGATATGTTGTTTCTCAAACTCATCCATAGTAAACACATGTGGTTTTTTATTTGCAACGCAAGACTCTTCAAGCTAATTCCACCACTGAAGACTCGTATCTCGCAAAACCATTGGAATAACCACTAAAGCCTTTGCATCTAGAGCTCTTTAGGCAGCCAAAAACTTCTTCACATCAGCTAGTCAAGCTAAACATTTATCCACACCACCATCACTGAAAAAATTACAATCATAAGTCAATCCACTAAGGAAGGCTTCCTTAAAGCACCACCACCACTAGCCTTGAGTACCTCAACACACTCTACCATTGTAACCATCATGCCATGCATCTCCTTTCGCAACTCATGCACAACATCATGGATAGTCCAAACCCCCATAGCTTTGTCAGCTCCACCACTGACACCACTTTTGTCATTAGAACTCCAACATTCCTCTTGGTTGGCCATTGCAACCAACTCCTCTAATACCATTGCACTAAATAGCAAAAATAAAGAGGCCTAGCCCTAGTCAAAGATACACTTCCTCTTGAGATTATTCACCACCCAACCACCTTCAAGCTATCTCAAAAGCTTGACCGCACTGCCACCGCCATTGTGAGCTTTTAGGGTAAGATAAATCCCCTATAACCTTGAGCTTACCTTTGACTCACGTTGACCATGTGGTCAAAATTGGTACATAACAACCTTCCTTTCAGATTCCGAGGTGGAGAGTGAGGTGCATATGCCATGACCCTTAGGCAATAGTGTTTCTTCCCAAGGTCCCAAAGTGTGCAACACACCTAAAGACTTGGGATGTTAAAGTGGTCTATGAACAAGTTTTGTGGAACCTTGGGAAGTTAGGATCCTAGAGGCTTGGAATGCTTGGTTTGCTTGTGCATGAGAGGCTTCAATACCAAATTGTAAACCATAAATTTTTTCAAGCAAATTATTGACTCATTTCTATCCTTAATTCTAGCAAAGAATAAAAGCAGATCACTAAGTGATAGCTATGCCAGAGCAAAACCCTTCCCAGGAACTTAGGACTTAAAGTTCAACTACATTTCCCATCGATCCACCACCTTCACTTTAGCTATAGATAAGATCCCTTTGCCAAGGTCCACTTCTAGGTACCACTGTCTACTGGATCCTTACTCGCTTAGCTAGTTATTACATACATACAAGAGTGTTAGCCATTTCTCAGTAATTTCCTCAATTGCTCTCCCAAACCCATACTATAGTGGAGGACAAGCCTCCTATGGAACAAGAACCGATGGAGGAACCTATGGATGAGGTTTTGGTGCTGGAGGAGGATCCTAGTGAGGAGACCTCTAGGCAAGAATTGAGTGGTGAGGCTCCTTCCTCCATTGGTATCAAAGGGAGGTTGGTTGTGATGGCTGACCAATAGAAATGCTAGAATCCTAATGACGAAGGTGGTCACAATAGTGGAACTAATGAAGCTACAGAGGTTTGGATTACCCATGATGTTTTGTATAAGCTGCAAGCCCTCAACAAAAATTAGCAAGAGATGCAAGAGAAGATGCATGGCATAATGACTATGATGGGAGAGTGTGTTGAGATACTCAAGGTTGGTGGTGGTGGTGCTTCAAGGAAGTTTTTTTTGGTGGATGTAGCACATGTGGTTTTCACCCTTTATCCTATACTATAGGATAATTATGAAGTGGACCCTAAACCCTTTATATGCTACATATCATATACCACATGTCTAAGGATAGTGGAGTAGAATTTGAGTTTCAAGGCCTTGGGGCCACTGAATGAAAGAATGGAGCCAAACTTCCAAAATTAACCAAGGAACGAAAGAACTGAAACACGGTGCAACTCTTGAGCGTTCAACCTAAAAAGTAAAGGGACAAGAGTACGGAGCGATATAAGAACAATCCTAAAGCATCTAATATTCCAATGGTAGGACCAACATACAAAACAAAGCTAAACAGAGTCTAGTGCTATTTTAGCATACTGATGGCCTAACACGAGGATATGGGTACCATGGTATGAAACTTGGGCTTAAACCCAAGCCAAATGCAGAACAAAGACATGCATGCAAGTAGGAGTTAAACTATACCTCACATTGGTCAGCCACACTTAATCTACCCACTATCCTTATTATACATTTGGAACCCCCCCGTTGAGGAATGCACACTTTGGGCTTTCACCCCTAGTCTCTTTTAATACCAAGAGTTAGTCTTTGGAATAAGTTTGAAATATACTAAATATGGAATGGTGCTAAATTACAAATTTGGATATAGAACTAACACCATTGTGTTTAGGACAATCTTTACATTTTATAAATATGCCAATCTAGACACTTTCCATAAATAGTAAATGGGACCGAAATGAAACTAACATAAGAGGCATAATAACGAGGGTGTTTAGTAAACATAGTAAATTATCATTTAACAAATATTGAGGGACCAAACTCAATATAGGGTGTTATTTTTTTATTAAACAAGTATATAACTCGATGATGTGAGTTTAATATTTAGGTCTTGTGAAGGCAAGTTAAAGTTGCTCTACAACTAATAATTTTGTGTAAACTTCATTAAGGACTATTAACACTTCCTTTACTCGATGATAATTTAGTAATGATGGGCTTATTTTACCAAATAGTGTTGCAAAGGATTGTGTTATGGGTTTATATGGTTTTTCCATGTTGGCGTATCAACTCTATCTTTGTCAATATCATTTGGTTGCATTTATTTTGTGATGTTGGATTACATTAAGTTTTAAATGTGGTGAATCCTTCCTTGATATCTGTTATTTGTAGGTAAGTATTGTTGAAAAATTAATCTCAAATACTGAGTAAGGTATCTTTGACTTTGGTTAGCTTAGTTGCTAAAGGATTTAAAGTAGTGATTCATTCTTGCTTTCTTTTAGTTTTATTTTGATATTGATGGCATTGAAGTGATGCTTTATCATTGACATTGTTGATGTTGAGATTCACAAGATTGATATTGAGTTTCGCTAGTTTTAATGTAAATAGTATTAATGATTTAGTTATAGCTTTGTGTTATTGGCATTCATATATTTGCCAGCTAGTAACTATATTATCATTCAAACAAACTGAGTAGCAAGTTGAGTTAATTATATTCTAGATAACATTGTTTAGTAGGGGTTGAGATTTGGCTTTTCCTTGAAAAGTGATTTATGGACTATACTAGTTTTACGAGAGGAAAAGTTAGTGATCGATATTAAAGTTGGTTTTTTGTTAGATTTGAGTTGAGAATAAATCGATCATCGATAATTCTTTTTGTGTTTGTTATAAAGTGAGTTACATTTTATAGAATATAGATTCATGGAAGATTGGTTTGGTAATGACTTATTTAGCATAACTTTATTATGCTTATATTTTATATTGATGCAAACATGCTTTTCATTAGCTTTAGCATCATAAATTTAGCTTTTTGACGTGTTGAGGAAGATATTGTGGGTTGTACCGTGATTTTTTCTTTAACATTGACATTAGTTCATGCAAGATTTGTGACCATGATTAAGTGAGACTTGGCTATAGATTTCTTCGAACTTTTAATTCTTTAAGTTTTATGTTCATTATTCCATTTGTTAAAAGTTTTTGGGGAAGGCATTTTGGCTTATTATCTTCAATATTAAAGCTAGTATTTTGCATCTAGCAATCATTAGTGATGATTGACTATCATTCAAGCTAATTAATTATCCTTGACAAAGTTTTGCTTAATTGTTGTTAATATAGAATGATTTGTCCTTTTTCGGGATAGTGGATTGACCGGGACTTGTGACCATGATGTTGTTACTTGTTTGTGATCTGCCAGAGGTTTACATCCAAATAAGGAAATGATCGTATTATTGTTCTTTCAAGTTTATCAAACAGCTAATACATTTTCTTTCCTTGACTTCCTCATCTATACTGATGTTGATATTGTTGTTGTTATTACTTTTGTTCTTGCCTATTTGATTATACATCTTTGGAGAGTTCCTCAAAGACCTGAACATGGTCGGCATCAATCTCCCGAAAATCCTCAAAGACAGCCTAATCTCCAATGGTAGGATACAGATCAAATCCTGAATTCTGTTGACAGCATTAGCATCCAAAGACAACAGACCCCTTCTGCCTGAGGTAGACACAACACATTCTGAAAAGTGGCAAACACAAAAAGTAGAAACACCAAAGCAGCCTGGCTTAAATGCATTAGTGTTTAAATGCAGTAATTCATACATTAATATATCAAGAGAGTGATTACGATTGATGATCTTGCTGTGGTCTATGTATGGCCCCGCTACAGATTTGCAAGACCCTAGCCAAAGAAAAAGCAAAGGAATTACATGGCTGCTAAAACCACTTCATCTATAGATGCTGTTGAGCTTGGTGTGCTGGAACACCTCAAATTCCTTCCAGGAGTCAATTAAGTCACACAACGTTCGTATCTTCCCCTGAATTTCATCGTCCATCCTGTGATACCAATCACCCTAAACCAACACCAGAAACATCAAGATGTTGCCACCTTTGAAATGTATCCTCCTGCCCAGAGTTGGTCCCAAGAGCATCGACGACATGGAAAACACTCGTTTAGCTTTTGCAAGATTGTCTTGATTGCAAAGTGTATTGGCAAGGAGACAAGGTTTCTTTGAGGGATTGAGTCAAAAACATATTTCACCGCACTGGGCATTTGCTCGGAGCATTCCAGTCCACCCCATAACATCGTGCTGTGG